TTCCCTTTCTCCCCCCTCCCCACCTCATTGTTGTCTACAGACTCCAGCCCACTTCCTCCCTTGCCCCTTCCATATCTTATTTGGTAATGACGACCAGAATTTGGAAAGGACTATGGATAATGCTGAATGGACTTACGGATTTTAGAACTCGGAGAACGTTGGCCACTAGATTGGCTTTTAGTTGTTATTGTATTAATTGAATGTTTTAACTTGTGGTTATTGTTGTTATGTATTTTATTTGTTGAATTATTGGCATCGAATTGTGCCGGTCGTAAGCCGCCCTGAGTTCCCCCTAGGGTGGTGATGAGCAACCTTTTGAGCTTGGTGTGTCAAAATTCCCCAAAAACCTGAGCATCACTTGGTGGGTGGGGTGTCACTTCGAGAGAGAAAAAACACCATAATTTTGCAATATTTATGGTTTAAATAAGAAAAATATATAATCCATGCTGAGTTATTGAGTGAACAATGCTCAAACATGCAGATGTTAAATTTGTAGAGCCTTTTACAAAATTAAGGATGGAATTAGATTGGCTCTTATGAGGTGTACTTCTCTGCATGCGGCTGCATGTGTCTGCGTGTCATCAAAAATAGCCATGCGTGTCAGTGCTGACACGCATGTCATAGGTTCGCCATCACGGCCCTAGGGGGTAGAGAAGGGCAGGGTAGAAGTGCCCGAAATAAATAAATAATTTGTAGTGCAAAAACACTTAAAAACAATACAATAATTAAAATGAAGAATAATTTTAACAAATAGAAACTTAATTCGTATTTCAATGGGATGTGTGGGCCTGCTTTTGTCTAATGAGATAGGATTGTTGTTGTTGTGTGCTTTCAAGTCGTTTCAGACTTAGGATGACCCTGAGCGAGGGCCTGGTAAATAACCTTGGAGGGCCGTATCTGGCTCCCGGGCCGTAGTTTGAGGACCCCTGATACAGATCTTGGAATAAAGGTGGGGAAACAAAGCACTTTGAGTCCCATAGGGCTAGGAAACAAGAGGTGGAAGCAAGGCAGCAGGCATGTGCCACAGGGTTCCCTCTGTCCATTAATGTCTGTGTATACAAGTGCTGATGCTTCTTCACTTCCAACAAAGCCATCCTCCGTTGGAACTTGCTTTTGCTTCCTTACTTACCACTCCATTATCTTTTCTCCCGCTGTCTCTTTGTAGTTGTCTATCATCACGGAAACAGTGCAACTGGCGGACACTACACGACGGACGTCTTTCAGATCGGTCTGAACGGCTGGCTGCGCATCGACGACCAGGCCGTCAAGGTGATCACGCAGTACCAGGTGGTGAAGCCGTCTGCGGAGCGCACAGCCTACCTCCTGTACTACCGCCGAGTCGACCTGCTTTGAAGCCTCCTCTCTCCTCCCTTCCCCTTTTCTGCTGTGTTTGCCAGATTTACCTGCTTTCTAGAACGCCAACTCTCTCTCTTAACTCTTAAACTCCTCCTCCTCCCCCTCCTCATCCCTTCATGCTCTTTGGCGTGACTCCTTCCCCGTTTCCCCCTCCTTGCAAACTATGGGATAAGAGTGAAAGTGAAGGCTTTCTTTTCGGGGATTTGTAAGCAGCCCCGTTTGTGTTGGCTTATCGACTTTGCTGAATGATGAAGTCTTTAGGGTTTGAAAGGCTCGGTCTCACAAATCACACACACAAACAAACACACAATAATTCTTTTTTTCCCCTTTTTCTCCTTTGTTTTGGTGTGCTAATGCTGAATCCTTGGGGATTTAACATGGGATTTGCAGCTGATTCCCACTTTCTAATTGCATAGTAGAAACAGCTCTGCACCAGCAACAGAACTTGTAGATTTCTGTGAAAATGTTTTATCTTTACTTAAATAAAAAAAACTAAAAAAAAATGACACCTTCTCCATCCTCCCCAACAAGAGTTTCCCTTATTTTCCTTTTTTTTTTTTTTTTTTTTTGGATAAATGGTTAAAATGAGCCAGTCTCTATCAAGGAAAAAAATCCTTTTAAAAATACTCTACAAAAAAGAAGTATAATATTCAGAGTTCCTGGTTCCTGATAGGAAGAGATACACATTTTAATAATTGTGCGATGAGAAATTGCAAAGTACACATTGCAAATCAAAATACTTGGAGTTAAAAAAATGTTAGTCTATATAGATGGGTGATTGTAACTTTATTGCTATTAAGAGATTTCAAAACTGCATTTATGCTTCTGTGTACATGGGATTTTAAAACGGGAAAAAATGGGCAAAACGATGAAGGTTGATATTTCTTTCAGTCTGCTTTGTTTAATTTTGCTGTCTGCTCTCCTATAATGTTGAGTTTCCTCAGTGTACACAGTCTAGTGATATCTAGGAGTATAAAGTTGTCGCCCATCAATAAAAAAAGTCACAAAGTTGGTTTTAAAGCTTCTTTGAATCGGTCGGCTCATACTTGGTTTTTTTTTTTTTTTACTATTAACCACATTTATATGCCGCCCTTCTCACCCTGAAGGGGACTCAGAGCATCCTTATATCAGGCAACCATTCAATGCCACACAAATACGTACAATAAATAAACAAGTACGTTAACATCCAAAAAGTTTAAAACATCAAACATTACACATTAAAACACTTGATTAAAGCCACTTAGTCCAAAATCGTAATCCAGAGCATTCCATTCGAGATTGCAGTGTTTCATATTCAATTATTGCACTGTTTGAAAGTTACTGACCAAAGGCGTGGTCCCACAACCAAGTTTTTACTTTTTTCTGAAGGTCAGAAAGGAGGGTGCTGATCTGATATTGCTGGGGAGGGAGTTCCATAGACGAGCCACCACTGAGAAGGCCCTGTGTCTCGTCCCCACCAGTCGCACCTGCAACGGAAGTGGGACTGAGACCAGGGCCTCCCCACAATGTCTTAACATCCGAGGTGGGTCATAAGGAGAGACACATTCGGACAAGTAAGCTGGGTTGGAACCGTTTAGGGTTTTATAGGCCAGCACTTTGAATTGTGCTCGGAAGCAGACTGGCAGCCAGTTCTCCCTGTACACCAGTGGTTCTCAACCTTCGTAATGCCGCGACCCCTTAATACAGTGCCTCACGTGGTGACCCCCAACCATAAAATTATTATTATTGCTATTTCCTAATTGTAATTGTGTTACTGTTATGAATCATAATGTAAAAATATGAAATGCAGGATGTATTTTCAAATTTGGACCAAATTTGCCAGAAATACCCCACAACAGCGCTCCATGCTGTCATGTTAGCCACATGACCTTGGAGGTGTCTATGGACAACAGCGGCTCTTTGGCCTAGAAATTGAGCACCAACTCCCAGAGTTGGACACGACTGGACTTAATGTCAGGGGAAAACTTTTACCTTACGTTACCCAATATGCCCAAAATTGAATACTGGTGGGGTTGGAGGGAAAATTGATTATGTCATTTGGGAGTTGTAGTTGCTGGGATTTATAGTTCACCTACAATTAAAGAGCATTTTGAACTCCACCAATGATGGAATTGGACCAAACTTGGCACACATAACTCCCACAACCAACAAAAATTCCTGGAAGGGTTTGGTTAGCACTGACCTTGATTTTGGGAGTTGTAGTTCACCTGCATCCAGAGAGCATTGCAGACTCAAACAATGATTGATCTGGACCAAACTTGGCACAGGTACTAAATATGCCCCAATGTGAACACTGGTGGAGTTTGGGGGAAATAGACCTTGACATTTGGGAGATGCAGTTGCTGGGATTTATAGTTCACCTGCAATGAAGAACCCTCGCCTGCTCCGCACCCCTGCCGGCCGGCAGGAGAGCGAAGCAGGCGAGGGGCGCCCGGTGCAAGGCCTTGCGCCAAAGGGCCCCCGCCTGCTCCGCACCCCTGCCGGCCGGCGGGAGAATGACACAGGCGAGGGGCGCCCAAGGAGCCACTCGACCATCCCTCACCTCCTTCTGCCATCAGAAGGAAGCGAGGGACGGGCGGATGGCTTCATGCACGGCCTGGCCGCCCACGGAGCTGCTCGCCTGTCCCTCGCCTCCTTCCATCAGAAGGAGATGAGGGACAGGCGGATGGCTTCGCGCGCGGGAGTGCCAGTGGCTCTGGGGGTCGGCCGCCATTTTGGAGGGGGCGTGGCCAGCCAATGCGGCTTCGCGACCCCCAGAATATGGCCAAGCGACCCCCCAAGGGGTCGTGACCCCCAGGTTGAGAACCGCTGCTGTACACCATTCCAGTGAGCAGTCTGACTGCTACCCATTGGACCACTTGAAGCCTCTGAACAATCTTCAAAGGCAACCACACATAGAGTGCATTGTAGTAGTCTTCAGGATGTAACAAGAGTGTGGACCTCTCTGGCCAAGTCCGCCTTCTCACAGTATGGGCACAACTGGTGCACAAGTTTTAATTGTGCAAAGGCCCTCCTGGCCACACCAAGACGTGGTGGGGTTCCAGGCTCAGCAGTGAATCCAGGAGGACTCCCTAGCTGCGAACCCTTGCCTTCAGGGGGAGTGTAACCCCATCTAGCACAGGCTGTGTAACCCTATGCCCTGTTCGGTCTTGCGACTGACCAGGAGGGTCTTCCATCTTGTCTGGATTCAATTTCAATTTGTCCACCCTCATCCAAACCATTGCAGCTGCCAAGCACTGGTTCAGGGCCTGAACAGCCTCCTTAGCAGTCGGTGGAAAGGAGGAGTACAGTTGAATGTCATCAGTGTACAGATACTTGCACATATTCATTATTTACAAATCCATGATCAGCAATTTCAGTGCTGGGTCATTATAATAAATCTCCTGCAGTTTTTAGAGATGGAAACCAAGATGTTGGTCACACAAGACTTTAAATGCTCATGTTAGGAGATATGTGTGCTTTCAAACATGAAACCTTTCTATAAAATACACTTGTTCAGATCTAAGTTCTGATATATCCCCTGCAGAAAGTCAATTGAACATGCCTTTGTATTTATGGAAAATCATTAGTAATCCGTATTAGTAATTTTCACTTGTGAGTATTCTCTAACGTGAGTTTTAAAACCTTTGCCTCCTAACTATATAAACTTACATTAAGTTAGTCTAGTTAAATTGGTTCCCCCTGAAACCTCAGTCTTATTCATCTATCATAACATCAGCTGGATCTCCAAATAATAAAATATTGCATTGTCGAAGGCTTTAATGGCTGGAACCACTGGGCTGTTGTAGGTTTTTTCGGGCTATATGGCCATGGTCTAGAGGCATTCTCTCCTGACGTTTCGCCTGCATCTGGCAAGCATCCTCAGAGGTAGTGAGGTCTGTTGGAACTAGGAAAAGGGTTTATATATCTGTGGAATGACCAGGGTGAGACAAAGAACTCTTCTCTGCTGGAGCTAGGCGTGAAAGTTTCAACTGACCAACTTGATTAGCATACAATGGCCTGACTGTGCCTGGGGCAAACTTTTGTTGAGAGATGTCCCTGCCTGCTTCCTCTCTTGTTGTGCTGTTGCAATTTTGGAGTTTTTTAATACTGGTAGCCAGATTTTGTTTATTTTCATGGTTTCCTCTTTTCTGTTGAAATTGTCCACATGCTTGTGTATTTCAATGGCTTCTCTGTGTAGTCTGACATGGTGGTTGTGAGAGTGGTCCAGCATTTCTGTGTTCTCAAATAATATTCTGTGCCCAGATTGGTTCATCAGGTGCTCTGCTATGGCTGATTTCTCTGGTTGAAATAGTCTGCAGTGCCTTTCATGTTCCTTGATTCATGTTTGGGCCTTGCTGCGTTTGGTGGTCCCTATGTAGCTGCATGGTACACGGTGGACTCCTGCAGAAGTGAGAGGATCCCTTTTGTCCTTTGCTGAACGTAGCATTTGTTGGATTTTCTTGGTGGGTCTGTAAATAGTTTGTATGTTGTGTTTCCTCATCCGCTTCCCTATGCGATCAGTGGTTCCCTTGATGTATGGCAGGAACACTTTTCCTCTGGGTGTATCTTCGTCTTTATTCTTGTGGCTTGCAGCTTTTCTGATGTCTGAGGTGGAGTATCCATTGGCCGGTAGAGCCCAGTTGAGGTGGTTCAGTTCATCTGGGAGGAGGTGGGGTTCGCAGATTCTTTTTGCACGGTCTGCCAAGGCTTTAATGGTGCTTCTTTTTTGACTTGGGTGATGTTTGGAGTTTTTATGTAGATATCTATCTGTGTGTATGGGTTTTCTGTGGATGGTGTGACCCAATTGTTGATCTGGTTTGCGGATGACTTGGACATCTAGAAAAGGCAGTCTTCCTTCATTTTCTTTTTCCATGGTGAACTGGATGTTTGGGTGGATGCTGTTCAGATGGTCCAGGAACCTGTTGAGTTCTTCTTCTCCGTGGCTCCAAATGGTGAAAGTGTCATCCACATATCTAAACCATATCGTGGGCTTTTTTGTTGCTGTCTCCAGGGCTTGTTTTTCATAGTGTTCCATGTAGAAATTAGCTATGACCGGGCTGAGAGGGCTCCCCATAGCTACTCCATCTTTCTGTTCGTAGAACTCATTGTCCCACTGAATATTCCTCTTAAAATATTCCTCTTCGTCCCATCATGTTAATCAATCATGATCAGTCAATCACAAGATTCTCATCAAATTCCTGCATGTTCTGCCTGGTGATCTGTATTGCTGTTCATTTTCCAGCCAGTGGGCCAGTGAGTGTCCACTCCGGACTTTTGTCTGAACTTCCAAGAAGCTTTCGTAAATGGATGGGATTTGGAGTTCAACAACATCGGAATGGCTCATGATTCCCCTCACCACTTATGAGCAAAGATTTGGAATGTGGCCAAGCTTATATTTTGTGAGATCAAAACTTGGTCAAGTCATTTCTTGGATTGCAACTCCCAGGATCTGCCTGCCAGCTGTAGTCCACTTGGCCAAGTTCTTATGGATAGTTTCCTCTTGCGGTCCTTCACCCTTCCTCACCTTCCTGTTGAGATTTCATTCTCCGGGAACAGAGCAGACCATTCCTTTGGTGGAGGTTGTTCTGTTTTGTTTTAATTTTAGCTCACTCTGTCCTTCTAAAGCTTGGAGTGGAGGTAAACAATGCTTCCTATCAAAATAGTTTAAATCCACTTAAAGGCTCTGTTTATCCCCAAAGCCCGAGTGGAAATGCCTTTTAAGAGCTGCTGGAAGAAAGTATCCTTTTTGGCTTTTAGTACAGTAGAAGGACGCTCCAAATCCAGAGAATGGTTGCAGATATGTGTGTTTTCCTGTGGTTGAGAGAGTGTGACTCGCTCAAAAATTAATTTTGCATAGAGGCGACAGTGGCGCAAAGTCGCATAATACATTCCATTTACAAGTGGAGACTTGAATCTATCCCAAGTCCAGCACTTAAAACATTATTGTGGTTATTATTTGCTCAGATCAGTTGTGTGTGTGTGTGTGTATGTATATATATGTATGTATATCTATATACATAAAAATG